ATAAATTCAAAAATTTAACAACCTAAAGTTTATGAAATTGTTATTAATATTTTTTTCGAATTTGAATCTCAACTTTCATTTCAATATTTTATTGATATTATAGTTAGTTTTATCAAGGGTCAGATGATATTAAGAGTATTCGTCCCCTATTACTAGTAACTGATTCTTAATTGGACAATATTGAAGAAATATTGAAATAAAAATTCTATTGGACATATATATCTATAAATTTCTTTATTCTAATAATAAATATATATATGAAGATTGAAATTTAAATTTTCTTAAAATATCAATAATAACCATCAATGTAAACCTTTATAATAAATATCTTTTAAATATTCAAGAGAATAACAGAAATATACATATATTTCTATATGTATAATATCCAATTAACTGATTGTTTATTAATTTTTTATAAATTTTTTGAATTTTAAAAAAATTTTTATAAAAAATAAAAAATATTTTGTGTAGTCTTCATTTTGAAATATATGAAAATGGCATTCAACATTTATAAGTTATATTACTTTAAAGTGTTTATAGTTGACCCTGCTATGTAATCTTCTATTATTACAAAGGGGCGTCCGTAGAGACTATCGTCAACGGGCGTGCTAATGATAAAATAATGATACTGTAACACAGCAGACACAGGATAATGTAATCTTTACGAAAAGAAATTTTATTCATTGACCTTAAAATAATTACGAATGATAATCGGTTATCCATATGAATGATTGAAAAGTTTTTAAAATAAAAATATAATTCAGACCGGTGTTTTTCAATTATCTTTGAGTTGTAAACCTCTTTATTAATATTTAAACAATTTGCCTCTTGCGGTCCCCAAATGAATATGATATTCCCATAAATAAAAGAAATTATGAAAATTAATACAATCTTATTATTAATTTTGAATTATAGTGATATGATATGACTTATAATAATTATATTATTAAGAAGTGCTAAAGGTCAATAATTAAAAATGACAGCGACGATTTACTGATTAGTGACTAAATTAAAGTATGGAATTTTTAAAACAACATAGTTTCAATTTATATAGATATAATTTTATATAAAATTTATATTTAAAAAATAATATCAAAATAAACATTTTAGATAAAGGAACTTTTAATGAAGGATAAAGCTATTGCGAGAATGATATAAAAAGTAGCCTTGAAATTGCATAATCCTTTTAAAATAAACAACATGTAAAATATACATAATTGATTTATTCAAGGACGAAGCTATTGTATTTTATCTTGTTCCATACTTTACAGTTTTATTTATCTAAAATATGTTTGCAACATTGGATAAAATATACATTTAATATTAAAAAATATTTTTAAGTGTCGGGGAAAGATATATCTTTTGAAGTCATTTATTTGTTAAATTAAATAAAAACTAAATATTGTATAAAAATCTTACTTTAAAAGTAATAAAATTTTAAATAAGTAGTAAAAACCAATTTTAAAAAATATATTAATTATTTTATTAATAAATATGAAATATTTTCATCATTTCATAACCATAAAAGATTCTAAAAAGCATTATTTCAATGAAATAATGTATGAAATAATTCAAAATACTTTAATATGCAATATATATATATATTCTTAAAATTGAATTCTTAATAAATCACTAATCTAATGCAATATCAAAAATATGCAATTTCTTTTCTCTTTTTCTATCATCTCTAAATTATCTCTAAATTTAATTTCTATTAAAATTAATCGATAAAAATAATTAATTTTTAAAATTCATTCTTTATCCAATAAATAATTGAATAGAATTACGCATTGTAAAACGTTGAATCATATCATAATAATGCGTATTTCATGTGACCTCAGTGACTCAGACGTACCGTATGTACCAAATAGCATGCGACTAGAAATGATTGCATGATCTAAATCTTATTTGCTTTTCTTTTTTTTCTATTTATTTATTTTTTTTTTTGTGATAAAAGAAAAACGATATATTTTTCAGCATATATATTTAATCATTGCTTCACAATAAAGAAAAGAAGAAGAAAAAATTCTGAAACGGTTTTCCACGGGGAAAACCGCTATACGAGAAATGTATTCAACCTATTATCTGTTTCGGGCACGTAGTTTGTGTACCGTTGTATGATTTCGTTTCGTTATCTAACCTCGTTAATGTATGTATGTACTATATAATTTGTGTCAAGATGTGTGTTTGTCTACCAATAATCCATTTTATTGTTATAGAATAAATTGTATATAAAAGTAGATTTAATTATGAAAGAGAATCTTAGATGAATTAAGTGTTTGAAAAGAAATTAGATTTTTCAAAATCATAAAAAATCACAAAGGAACTGAACATTTCGTAGTAATTTTTTTTGTAAATTTTTTAAAATATTATATTTAAATATTATTATTTAAATATATTATTTGAAAAAAACTACACCTTACGTACGAAAGTTTCAACATGATACGGAATAATATTTAATATCGTATTTGATATATTTTAATGTTGAGGAAAATAGATTATAATTCTTAATATTTTTAGGATATAAATTTTAATAAGAAATTTTTTTATTAGTTTCTTCTTCTAAATAGTTTATTATGTTATAATAAATATGTTGTAATAAACTATTTTTTCTATCTATAAATTATCAATATACTTATAAATACCAAGAATTATTAATTAGATAATCCATTTTATATAAAATGTATATCTATAATTATATATATTATAAAATATATGATAAAATATAGTATATAAATAAAAATATAAAAATTTTAAATAAACATATTAAAATTGTGTGGAAATTGAATGAAAATCTAGAATTAAAAAAATGGAACTATTATTCTACGAAAAAAAGATTGTCATTTAATATTAATAAAGTATACTAATCTCAACAAGATTGATCTGACAATAACTGTTTTTTCAATTTAAAAGTAGTCGCTTATTAATAGGAAGGATTTCTTAAGATTTCTAATGAGTCATCGTTCTTTAGAAAATTCTAATAGTATACAAGTATACAAAAATTTAATATTGATTAATCGTTATTTTTTTCAAACATATTCATTAAGAACACAATATAAATTGTATGAAAATCAACAATATTTCTCATTTATTATATTTCATTAAATTTTATTTAGCTTTAGAATTATTCATTAAAAATATGTACATAATTTCATATTGTATGCACAATAGCAACATTTTAAACTAAAATAAGCAACATTTATTAATATTTAAGCTAAAATATTCTATGAATTTTAAATTTAATAATGGAACGAAGGAATAAAGTATCACATAATTAAAAATTTTAAATTGATTATTCTTTTAAATATTGATTGATTAAATTAAATTTAATTATGATTATACATAAAATTTCATTATAAATTTAATTATAAAATTAACAAAATGAATTTATTAATTTTAATTCAATTCATTAAAACCGATTCTCATTTAATATGCATCAATGATTAATCGTCATCTGATACGGAAGAAGAGTTAATGCACTGCTACAGCGGTAGCATTAACCTAAGCGCGTCGTGCGAAGAAATTATAAAGTTAAAGGCACTGTACTCTCTCTTCTATCTTTGTAACTATAAGTATATACGTACTAGTTATTGAACGACATGAGGAAAGAGATAAGAACAAGACGAAAAGAAGACATACCTGGCTGAGAACGGAACTGCTCAGCTGGGATTTGACAAGAAGGGATTTAAACACCTCTCGTTCCACATTTCCACTCGTAGAAGAGCAAATCTTCTCGTAGACTTCTCTGTAGAATGCCGGTATGCAGCCTGGTTCGTATAATGACAAGAAGCAAAATAAAAAAATATCACTTCGCGAGTAAAATTTCACTTTTCACAAAAATATAAATATTAAAGCTCGAAGAAAACAAAATTAACTTTTATTCGAGTTTTATTCAAATAAAAATAGAAAAATATCAAATATTTATGATAAGAATTATTATTACGTAAATTAATTAACTTAACTTAATGTTAATTTTAAATAATGAATAACAATATATCAATAATCGATGTTATGAAATTACAATTTCACTAAATTCTATTAAATTTGAATAGCTATTCTTAACAAATATGATTATTTATGAAATAATAAGATAATAATATTTTTTTAACGAATATTTCAATGATATTTTAAAATTTTAAATATAAAATATTTAAAAATTTATTTATAACGAAATGAAATAAATAGAACGAAATATAAATAATGGAATGTTAAATTTACAAAAAGTACTAATAACTTATATAAATAAAACACAATATAAATATAATGCTACAATGAAAAAAAAAGAAAGAGAAAGAGCTACCGACGCTCGTCAACATTAAAAGGGATACACGTTGCTCTTAAAAACCGGACGACCTCGGAAAGACCTTGTCAAAGGTGCGTACGGTACACGGGTTCATCATTTACCGAACGACAGATCGGTCGACGCCATATTGGATCACTTGTAGATCATCCGGGATCCTGCGAGATGATTGCACCGTTGCTTTTCGAAAATACAGTCACGTATACACAATAGTCTTTGAAACAATGTTCTAGGTAAACTCGCGTTGTGTATTTTGATGAAATGACAATATGACTTGTCGGCGAAATACCAACCACAACACAAATACACCAACAACATACGCCATTGCCGTGTGGCGCAAAACTGACGATCAGCGCGATTTCTCCGACCGGGCCGTTCTTATTTCTCCCGCCGCGCATGCGCCCTCTTACACGTCCTACTTATACTAGCGGCTCTATACGTTTCAAGCGCGGGAAATTCTAATTCTATTATTGTGGATATAGATTTTAATTTCAAGAAAAAAAATTTATGTCATTTTCTATGTAATTTTAAAATTATATAATTATTAATGTCTATATGAATGTAAATCTATTAATGATTCATTGATAATTTAATGTATGTAAATGATTTATATATTTATATACTATTATATATACATATTTTACTATTATTCCAATTTTTTATCCGATTATTTTATTATATCTATTACTTGTCTTATCTAAAATATTATATAATACTGTAAAATATTATAAACTTTGTAAAAAATATAAATTAGAGAATTGTATATAAAAAATTGAAAATTATAATTATAAAAATTATTAATTCTCATCAAGCTGTCCCAAAGGAAATGGTTTTGGCAATGGTTTTTCAAATTCTTTCATTTCTTTTCGGATTTCCTTGCATTTTTGCTTATCTATTGATTCAATCAATCGTAATTTATGCGCTACTTCTTGTTGTATTATAGGACGATACTTTTTGCCCATTCCAAGACATTCCATGTCATTTAAAAATTCCATTCTTTCTTGAATTCCACGTACCACTAAAAAATGGATAAAAAAAGAAAAAAAAATTTAAATACAGATATAATATAATATAATAAGTATTTATTACATTAACTTACAATCATCAATGGGATCATTATCAGAAATAAGTGAGTCTCGTTTTGTTTTATGAAGAATTTTTGATTCACGAGGAGTTTCTATATCTTTTCCATAAGCCATCATACTTGCTAAATGACGCTTTTGCTTCTCTTTATTACCTATATTTTAATGAAAAAAAAAAAAAAAGAAAAACATAGTTTTATCTATAGTATATTTTCTAAATTTGATTTCAGATCATAAATTTTATAAAATATGAAATTATTTGATTATATAAATAATATTATTTTATAAATTATTCATTCATATTTCTAATATAAAAAAATATATAAATAAAACAATATAATCTTACGCAAAGGAGATAATCTTCTATATTGTTCTCTCTCATATGCGCCACTTTTAACAATCATATCTTTTGATCGTTTCTTCCATACAGTCGGCATCAAAACCTATGCAATTTTATTAATACGTTATTTATATTTTAGTTATATATATATGCATTAATATTTTAGTTAATATAATATCATAATCTATTAATCTTGCCTGATATTGTAGATTATGTTTATTTGTTTCCATTTTTGATTTTTCCATAACAGGTGGTAAAGATTCACCTTTATTGATCGCTTCTTGAATAGATTTTCTTTTCATCATACTTAGTTTGGATTCTTGCATCAAAACTGCACAAAAATATTGACTCAAAAAAAAAATTAACATAAAATAATACATATTACTTTACAAACAAAAAATCAAGATTTAAAGAATTTTTCTTTATTACAATTTCTTTTTAAATTTTTATTCATAATTCGTATTTTTAATTATGAAGAGAAGAAAAAAAAAATCAT